CCTCCTCCTCCTCCTCCTTCCCCTTCTTCCCCATCCGCCTCCTCCTTTTCCTCCTCCTCCTCCGCGGAGGAGGAGGAGGAGGAGGAGGAGGAGGAGGAGGAAGCACTGTGGGGCCCCACAGACGAAGGAGGCAAGCCCCACGCCCAACCCGCGGCGGCGCTCCGGCCCCACGCCAACCCGGGGATGGTCTGGCGGATCGTGGCACGGATCCGAGCCGCGGCCGCCGCCGCCCCCCCCCCCTGGCCGCCGACGGCCGCCGGCGCTGCTCGGTCCCCGTTGCGGGCCAGGTGCGGCACTGGAAGCCCTGCCAGCATGCTGCCCTAGAGGCGTCCTGGGGCCGCTCGCCAGGAGACCCAGACCCCCTCGGGTTATAAAAAAAATCACGACGGGAGGTTTTTCGCTATTTTCGGCCTCCAGGGGCCCTCGCCGGGCCTCCAGACCGTCAAAAAACGACTCGGGATGAAGAGCCAGTCCCGGGGAATGGGTCGCGTCATGAAAAAATCATGACGTCGGGGGACTGGGGACGGGAAGCCCTGAGCAGACCATAGGGGAGGGAGGCCCACCAGGGCTGGTCCGGGAGCTCCCCCTCGAAGACAGACCGAGGCGAGCCTGCATCGCCTCCGCTTCTCGGGACGGGGGCTGGGCAAGGGGGGTCCGAAGTCTGCTGTGCAGCTGAATTGGGCACCGCCGCTTGACGCTCTCCTCGATACACTCTGGCGCCAGGAATACCACCTACGTGGGGCTGGGTGGGCTCTGTCACCTGTCCTGACATGATCAGCGGAGGAGAGCGAGATGAGCCCGCAGTTGTGGGCGGAGAGGTCGCTTGTTAATCGTGGGAAGGGGGGTCTTGCGAGCAAGGTCCGAACTTCCGGGCCCGGGTTCAATAATTGCGTGTTGCAGCTGAAGAGAATGACCGTTTGGGGATTTCAAGGTCGTGTTCAAAAGCTTTCGTCACAGGTTGCAGGGCCCTCGCCGACGGTTGTCGCGGGGAGTGGCCCAGCTGCCCCGACGAAGATTACAGTCGTTACTGCAGTTTTGGAGTGCGGGCGGGGAGATGTTGAAGTTCATGATATTGTTCAGCTGTCGGGGGAAGTGGCTACCACTGGCTAGCCTCATGAAGGTGCAGCCGAGCATCGGCACTTGGGTGCGGGAGTACCTCCCAGACCGCACCAGCCCTGCCATCACCCAAAGAGGTTGTGGAGCACGTCACTGATTTTCGCTGGAGCCCGTGAGGTTTCCACGCGGGCCTCCAGGGTTGTGCATGGATGTCCTCTGGAAGGGCGCGTGCAAGTCTGCGCCCCCTCCGCGGTCGCCCTCTTGCGTCTCCCGCCAGCCTTTTTGTACGATTCTCCCAGCAGCGCCGCCGCTTAGGCTGCGGACGCGGTGGACATCCGGCCGCTCCAATTTTGTTCGATGCGCGGGCCCTGGAGGTCCGGACCACTTCTCCAGGGCCGGTTGTTCGTCCTGAGCTGTTTCTTGACGCTCCCGAGGCCCGGCGAGGACCCCGGGACGCCGAAAATTGCCAACAAAACCCGCCGCACACGCATTTCTGCTGGAGCGTCGGATCTCTGGCTTCGCCACCGGTGGCGACCCAACGAGCAGCCAATTATGCCGCCCCCGCGCTTCCCGCGCCCGTGCGCGCGCCTGCCCTCCAACCGGGGCGTCGTCCCAGCCCCCCTGCGCCTGGCCTGCCTGGGGCCTCCTCCCTCTGCGCCCCGCCTCCCGGGGGGGAGGTCCGAGAGGGCCCCCCGCCTCCGTCGCGCAATAGGGGGGGGGGGGCGCGCTCGGCAGTCTGCTTGACCCAGAGGAGGGGGTCCAGTGACACGGGGGGTGGTGCTTTATGTTTGTGGCCGTTTGGGCCACATGGGGATCTTCACACGGCGCCGCCCTTCCTCCTCTGCACGATCGGTGAGCTTCCCGTGAGAGGCGATTTGAGGTGCACGCCCTGGGACTGGAGGCATACAGACAGCGAGACGTGCTTTGCGTTGGGGAGGAAACAAAAGTGACAGTGGGGGTGGTGCAATAGATCTGGTGCAATAGAGTTGTGGGGTTGCAGTAGATTTGGGGCCTGCAGAATCATTTCTGGTCCGCAGATGTGTTGCTTGGGCTTTCGCGTGCAATACGTTGATTGCAGTACACTGCAACACAATTCTCTGGCGCAGAACCTGTGCAATACAACTGCCCCAAACCTACTGTACCACCCCTTCTCAGCTGGACCCCGTTGTGCGTCAACCAGAGGCAGTATAGTCGGCTTCGCTTGAGGGTGACCATTCGCTGGCGTGGCTTTTGTTTGGTGCAGGCCCACTGGTCGAGTAATAGATCGACTGCAGAATTATCTGGCCCAGAAATGAGTCTCCCGTCGAATCTACGAGTAATCTAAGACAGTCCTACGCATTTGTCGCCGACTCGGTGGGAAAATTCACTCTGGGGGTAAACCGATCCATCCTGTAGTCGATATCCTACTCGAACTGAGGTCTCCAGATGGCTGCAGAATTTTCGCACAACAAATGAGACTCTCGTCGAATCGATGAGTAATCTAGGACAGTCCTGCGCATGTGTCATCGACCCGAAGGGACAAATCAACGTTGGGGGAAAGTCCTATTTGACATCCTCTTCGGACTCCTATAGTCGATATCCGACTCGAACTCCTATAGTCGAAAATCCATTCTGAAGTCGATATCCTATTCGAGCTGGGGCCCCCAGATGGCTGACGAGGGGCGCGATGGCGGCGGCTTGCGCGGCTCGGGCGCCGTCCCCCCGAAGCCGCGCACCCAGAGGTCACTCTTGCCTAGGGTCGCTCCTGCGTGCACCCGAGGCATAGGGCCAGGGTTCAGTCGAGCCTGTCCCTCTACAGAGGGCATATTCAAAAATAGTCAAACATAGTCTGTGGACGATGTTTTGAATATTTTTGAACTGTTTTTGGCTATTCTTGATTTTTCGTCCAGAGTCCCCCTGTAGGGGGACTCGCCCGACCTAAGCCTAGGGGGTCGCCCCTGCGCGCAGACGAAGCATCGGGCCAGGGCGGGGATGCCCCTTCCCTCTCGCGGCTCGACCACGGCCTCCCTTCGGGATCCCGCAAAGGGGTGTGTGTGTGTGTGTGTGTGTGTGTGCCCTGGTGTGTGTGTGTGGCCTGGTGTGTGTGTGTGTGTGCCCTGGTGTGTGTGTGTGTGTGTGATAATTCGTTCGGCTTTTGCACCGGACCGCCCACAACGGATGCCCCCCAGCCGCCTGCAGCTCCCGATTCCAGTTGCCGATATCTGGGGCATGCGGGGGGCAGCTGCTCGCGGCAGTTCGGCGCACCAGCGGATCGAAGTCATGCCTCCCCTCGGTCGACAAGCGCGTTCCAGTAGTCGCAAAATAACTGCTCGCAGGTGGCCTGGATCCGCCATGGGGGATTCACTATCCATCACGTCGATGCAGGCATGTTTTGTTTGTTCTCGGGCGTTTGCGAGTAGGCACTTTTTGCGAGTAGTGGGACGCGCTCGGTGACTCGGGGTCACAGGCCCCTCTGGTGGATCCCGATCCCTCCCCATCCCACCGCCTCGCCGCGGCAGAGGCCCTCCCCCTCTGCAGGGGGTGCCCGCGCCGCCCGCCCCGCGGGGCGGAGCTCCCCCTGCTCCGCCCCGCGGCTCGGCGGCGGCCTCTCCTCGCCCTCTCTCCACGCCCACCTTCGCCGCGGCGGCGGCCCGCGGAGGTGTTCGAGAGGCTCTTGGAGATACCCCCGCCCCCGGACCGCGGGGGGAGGGGTGGGGGGTGGGAGGGGGGGGGGGGGGGGGCGGGAGGGGGGGGGCGGGAAGGTGTGGGGCGGAGGGAGAGGAAGGGGGGGCGAGGGAGGAGGAGGAGGAGGAGGAGGAGGAGGATGGAGGAGGAGAGGAGGAGGAGGAGGAGGAGGAGGAGGAGGAGAGGAGGAGGAGGAGGAGGAGGAGGAGGAGGAGGAGGAGGAGGAGAGGGAGGGAGGAGGAGGAGGAGGAGGAGGAGGAGGAGGAGGAGGAGGAGGAGGACTTTTTTGGAGCTCCACGCTCACGCCTCCTCATCGGGTCACGCCCGAGGACTTCGCCAGCTACGGAGGGAGGAGCTGGCGAGTAAAAGCCGGGCCTAGTCGGAGGAATCGCTCGGCTCGGGCACAGGACGGGGCCTTGGCCGCAGAGGAGCCTCGTCATCCAGGACCGCTAGAGCGACTCGCACCAGGCGCAGCGCAGCGCTCCTCTCGGAGAGGCGCTGGACGAACGATGCGACGCCACAGCAGCACGGAGGACAGGACGCACGCCCACAGCACCGCTCACAAGTCCGTCACCCGACGTGGGTAAACGACCGATGCTTGGCGCGCTGGGCGGCGGGGCACGAGTCGGCGCGGCGCCGGCGGGGCAAGCTGTGCCCGCAGCTTGGCCAAGATGGCCGACGGCAGGCAGCGGGGCAGCTTCAAAACTAGCAGAGAGGCCGCTGCCCGACCCACCGCCCACAAGTCCGTCACCCGCTGGTGACGGACCAGTGCTAGGCAGGCGAGGCAGCGAAACATCGAGCGGCGCAGCGTCGCGCGAGCCAGCCGCACTCGCAGCAGCGCCGACGAGAGGGTCGGCGGAAGGCGGGCCAGCAGCGAGGAACAAGGCGGCTTCCTCGTCAGCTTCAAAATCATCGAAGGGGCCGCAGCCCGAAGCGTCACCCACAAGTCCGTCACCTTCGGAGGGTAATGGGCCAGAGGCGAAGGCACGGGCTGCGGAGCGAGCATAGGCACAGTGCTGCCAGGTCCCGCCACTGCGGCAGACGGACCAGCGAACGAGGTGGCAGCGGCTGGGTCGGAGGTGCCTGCAGCCTCGACGGGGCCTGCGATCAGCAAGGCGCTCGCACTCGCCGAGTTGAAACATTGGACCAGACCTTCAATGTCAACTCTGACTCCAGCTTCCCACTGCTTGTGCTGGGGGTGTTGTCCTTCCCAGCCATACTTACCAGCACGGGCTGGGGCAACACACTCCTGGGCCAGGCCACGGATTTGACCCCCGCTGGTGTGACATTTGCACCTGAGACACATAAAGAGCATCGAGTGGTCAGAGCACGGAAAGGCGACGGTACGGTGCCCGAGGGCATATTGGTGCCCCGCGTGGACTCAACACTTCCTGGAGCAGGATCCTGGGGGCGGCTTCGAGAAAGACCTGCAACCACGCAAACAGTGAGCGCACCTCCAGATTCCGCTCCAGGATTTCCAAACATGGCCAGAAGTGGGCTTCCTTTGGGACGGGGGATCGGGGGTCCTGCCGACTCCAGACAAGTCCAAAGGGGGCCAGTGGACGAACGTGGGCAGCCAGCTTCAACGTAGCCCTAGCGAACGACACCATCGTGTCAGCATCCTGAAGTAAACCTTCGTCGCGCGGGTGCAAAGAGACTGCGTGCTTGGCTGCTACATCGGCATGGTGATTGCCAAGCCTGCACCAGCGCTCACGGGGTGTGATGCCAGGAGCGTCGATGTCACGATGGGCGGCCACCTTCGAGCAAGACGCGACTCCACCAACCTGGCCATAACACTGGAGAAACGCTCCCGAACACATATTCTTGGGAGACAACTGAACCGACTTGCCTCTGGCGGCAGACTGTACTACATTGCTACAATCCGAGTGAACGTGGCAGTCTGCGGGAAGCGTGGCAATCACATTGGCCCAAGTATAGGCGCTGAATTCGGCACTCTGAGCCGTCTGAGGGTATGGGCCCCACACTCGGCAACCAAGTCGCCAACATCGTCAACCATACAAACAGCGCTGCCCGCTCGAGAAAGTTCGCGCACCGTGTGGCGAAAACAAGAACCATCGACAAAGAGGTCACCCGAGACACGATTGTCGACAGGGGCCTCATCATGGCCTTTCTTAGGGTACTTGTGCCACGTCGACATCGGGCCATCATCCTGCTCAGTCAACGTCTGAGGGTAGAGGTCGGCGGGGTGCCGAAATGCGCCAGAGATGAATGCAAAGCTGTCCTCATGCTCGCCCGAGGCCTTAGCTGCACGCGCATCTTCGATGATGTCGGGCTCGACCAGCCCGCCCCTATCCTCGGCCGCGGGGGGGGGAAGGGACATTCCCACGAACGGTGGAAGATGGTGTCGCGGTCTCCACAATGGAAACGTACAGGCTCGATGTGATAACCAAGAGACTCGGCCTTGGCAGCCGCAGGGAAAGCTTCCGCGGAGAAGGCCCGAGTCCTGGCCTTTTGGAGGGGCGTGACTTTTTTCCTGCGCAGAGAAGGGCTTTCCCGCGCCACGTCGTAGCAGAGACGTGGCTGGATGCCATGAGCAGCCGCCGCGTCTCTCTCCAACATGCGGAAACACCTTTCTCGGACTAGGGACCCGACGGGCGAGGGTGAGAAGATCCCCAAAGGAGTGGATCTCCCGAAATCGCCGACCAGGGTCATGAAGTTATCCATGCGCCACCCGAGGCGCACCAGGGACATCCGCATGGCAGAGGTAGGGCCCGCAACTCGCCTCCAGCTGCAGGACGCACAAGAAAAAATGGCGTGCCACGCACGCCTGAGCACTGGCAAAGAGAGAGAGACCAGCCCAAGGGACGCCACGCCCCTTCCCGCCTTCGCCTTTGCCCGCCATGACTCCTCGCGAGACGTGATCGGCCACAGGCTCTAGCACGAGCTCACAAACATATGATGGCGGGTTGAGATCCCGCAACCTGAAAGTGGAAAGACGACCGAGCCAACCTTGGCCCGCAGCAGCTGTGTGCTTTTATGAAGGTACCTGCTGCAAGCACAGGCCGAACGCCTGAGCCAGAACGGCTAGGAGGAGGAGGAGGAGGAGGAGGAGGAGGAGGAGAAGGGTGGGGGGGGGGGAGGGGGGTGGGGGGGGGCGGAGGGGAGGGACACGCGGGCTCGGGCAGACCGCGGAACCTCCTCGCTGGCCCGGGCGGGGTCGTCGCCGAGAGGGATGCCAAAAAAGGGCGCATCGGGATGGGAAGGGAGGGGCGAGGGTGGAGGAGGAGGAGGAGGAGGACGATGAGGATGAGGATGAGGAGGAGGAGGAGGGAGAAAAGCAGTTGGAGGGGGAGATGGAGGAGGAGAGGAGAAGGAGGAGGAGGAGGAGAAGGGGAAGGGGAGGAGGAGGAGGAGGAGGAGGAGGAGGAGGAGGAGGAGGAGGAGGTGGTGGAGGAGGAGGAGGAGGAGGAGACGGAGGAGACGGAGACGGAGGGACGGAGGAGGAGGAGGAGGAGGAGGGAGGAGGAGGAGGAGGAGACAGAGTTGACGGAGGAGACGGAGGAGACTGAGGAGATGAGGAGACGGAGGAGGGAGTAGGAGGAGGAGGAGGAGGAGAAGGAGGGGGAAGAGGAGGAGGAGGAGGACAGGGGAGGAGGGGAGAGGAGGAGGAGGAAGGGAAACGGATGAGAGGGGAGGAGGGAGAAGGAGAAGGAGGAGGAGGAACACGAGGAGGAGGTGGAGGAGGCGGAGGAGGACGACGATGAGTTGGAGGACGAGGAGTTGGAGGAGACGGAGGAGAAGGACGGAGGAGGAGGAGGACGACGGAGGAGGGGGGGGAGGGAGACGACGGGAGCAAGAGCAGGGGACGGTGCGGACTAATGAGAGGGGAGAGGAGGTGGATGAGAAAAAGGAAGGAGCGAGGTAGGTGTGGAGGAAGACAGGGGGATAAGGATGAGGAGGGGAATGCGGGGACAGGAGGGTAACAGGGGCGTGGAGGACGAGGAAGGCGAGGATGAAGAAGATGAAGACGCTGAGGTGGATCCTGGGGCGGATGATGGGGGAGGGGGGGATGAGGACGAGGACGAGTTAACGAGGATACGGGGGATAAGGATTCTATTAACGAAGAGAGGTCATGCTGATTATGAGGAGGAGGAGGAGGAGGAGCAGCAGCAGGTGGAAGAGGAGGACGAGGGAGGAGAACAAGGGACAACAGTGGGCATCGGTGGGCAGGATGGTCTGAACAAGGACGAAGAAGAGGTGGCGTCATGAGTTCAGGTGGATGAGAGAGGGTGAGGAGGGAGGGGGGCATCCTGTAGACGAAGAGCTCGAAGAGGAGGGGGAGGAGGAGGAGGAGGAGGAGGAGGAGGAGGAGGCGGGGAAAGAGCCTTATACGTTGTGGGCGTTCTTTAAGGAATCTGTCCAGGAGGCTGCAGACCCTGGAAGGCTCCTCACCCGATGGGGGCAGTAGTGATATCCATGGTCGATCCACGGTGGGAGTTCCACAGGCTTCCAGACCATGGGTTTCTTATCTAAGGGTTCTTTGTCCAGTGCACCCACCGCAATGAGAGGTGAGGTGAGGGAGGAGGAGGAGGAGGAGGAGGAGGAGGAGGACCAGGAGGACCAGTGCAAACCCAAGACTCATCGACGTAGTTGCTGTAAACTCTCCTTGCAAGGTCCCTTCTCGTGGGTCCCTCAAAGGCTTCATTCTCATTGTAGGAAGCATCTTTTCTGAGACCTCAAAACAGAGAATCAACGTGATTCTCGCGCCCTGACAGTTCTACATCGTGCCAAAACGGCCTTTGTGGGACGCCACCCAGAAGAATCCTCGAAGCGGCTGTAGGCTCTTCAGACGACTGCTCGCGGCGCTCAGGCGGCAGCCACAGTTTGAAACACACTCGCCCTCCATCCCTGAAGCTCGCGGAACAAGTTTGAGACGAATGTGCGCGGCGCGAAGGCGGGCGCCGCATTTTGAAGACCGCCCGCCCTCCACCCGTGGAGCTCCTGCAGGCGTCTGGGACGAATGCGCGTGGCGCCGACGGCGAGAGTCACGCGTGGAGCACAGCCCGCCGTCCATCCGCGGAACCCACCTTGCAGACTTGTGAGGCGACTGGTGCGCGGTGTACACCGCCCGCACTCTACCCGTGGAAGTAACTATTACCATTTTTATTGTTATTATCATTATTATTATCATTATTATTATTATCATTATTATTATTCTTATTATTATTATGATTAATATGAGTATGATTATTCTTATTATTATTATTATCATTATCATTATTATTATTATTATTATTATTATTAGTAGTAGTAGTAGTAGTAGTAGTAGTAGTAGTAGTAGTAGTAGTAGTATTTGCATTATTATTATTATTACTGTAATTCTTGTAGTGGCCCCCGGCCGGTGCCGCCGATCCGGGACGCTTCCGTTGCTGCCGGAAGCGCGCGACGGCGGCCATGACCGGCGACGACGGCGAGCGGTGAGGGTGATGATGTTTTGCTATTCCTTGTTCTGCCGATCGGCGCGGGCCCTTCGTACCTCCCTTCCCCCCCCCTCCGTGGAGTGGATCTCGGCTGTTTTGGGCGCCCGCTTCGAGCGGGTGGGGTCTCCCCCACAGTGGACGCACTGCTCCAAGCAGCCGCACTAAGCAGAGGTCCGGGGCCAGACCCCCCCCCCCTCCCATGCCCAATGTGTAAATGCCGAATCAAAGAACCCTCACTAGAGCGGGAGCCACACGTTGCAAACCGCCCGTTCTCTGCCCGTGAAAACCAGGTGAGCTTTGAAGACGATTGCGCGCGGCGCTACGGCGAGAGCACCCATATGAAAACCACCCCCTTCGGTCCGCGAAGCTCCTGCAAGTTTTAATGACGAGTGCGCGAGGCGCTTGGGCGAGAGACACACTTTGAAAACCAGCCGCCGTCTGTCCGAGAAGCTGTGGTCACTTTGAGGCTGAAGAACTATGAAGTATGACGGGGTTATCAGGCGAGACGCCCTGTCCGCCTGACCGACGCGCTTCAGGGTGCGACAGGGAAGAGTTAGTTATAAGGAAAAGGGAGGGGGGAGGATGAGGATGATGATCAGGAGGGGAGAGGAGGAGGAGGAGGAGGAGGAGGAGGAGGAGGAGGAGGAGGAGGAGGAGGAGGAGGAGGAGAGGAGGAGGAGGAGCAGGAGGGAGGAGGAGGAGGAGGAGGAGGAGGAGGAGGTGGAGGAGGAGGAGGAGGAGGAGGAGGAGGAGGAGGAGGAGGAGAGGGAAGGAGGAGGAGGAGGAGGAGGGAGGAAGAGGAGGAGGAGGAGGAGGAGGAGGAGGCGGAGGAGGAGGAGGAGGAGGAAGAAGAAGAGGAGGAGGAGGAGGACCACGAGCTGGCCTATGAGGGCCCGCGCTGCGCGGCCTGCCCGGGCGCGCGCCCCGACAGGGGGGCGGCGCCACGCGGAGTGGAAGGAAGGGAAGCACGATGAGGAGGAGGAGGAGGAGGAGGAGGAGGAGGAGGGGAAGCAGCAGCAGCTCCGTGAGAGGTTCGTTCCGTGAGAGTCTTGTCTGCTCCAGGCTGTTGTTCAATGCGTATTCGAGGTGTTACTGAGGTATTGCAACGTGCGTGAGCTGAAAGGCTTGAACGCTACTTACATGCGTGTGCACAGACGAATCGTTGATGGTGTTCGGTTCGATGGGAGCGAGAGGTCAGACCTAATAGTCCGGAGCGAGTTCGGTATTCCTTCGGTCGATTGCGAGCTTGCGAAACGCAGGTTCAAGTACTTAGGAAGACTGGAGCGGGTGTCTTCGCACCTTTTGAAGGCCATGTTGTCGCTTAGAGACAAACCAGGCCAGCCGGTGATCCCTTGGGCACAGCAGGCCGGGAAGGACCTGAGGCTGCTGTGCGCAAGGGTTGACCGCGTAAGGGCGGTGCTACCTCCGCCGGGCGCGTGCCCTGTTGCGTGGCAGACGTTTCTGCGCGACCACGCCGAGGAAAAGGGGTCGACCGTGTCACAGCTCCTTTTCACAGATTCTGTTTGTGACAATCAACGCTCCAGCGAAGGTTCACAACCACCGGTCGCACCGCACTTGTGCTCGCACTGCAGCGGCAGAGCTTTTGGAACCAGTCAGGCGCTGCAAACCGACATGCGTGTCAAACACGGCTTGAGGAATCTCATGGGTTTATATGCCGGCCGCGATTGCACGTGGCAGGCGTGTCGCGTCGTTTTCTCGACGACTCCGGCTGCTTGCTCACTTGAACAGACAGGCCAACCAGTGTGGCGACTGGGTGTTTACCAAGTGGGCACCTTTGCATGACGAGGAAGTTGCTGCGTTAGTTGAATTCGACGCACTTGCACGCCACTCTGCGCACAAAGCTGGGCTCAAACACCCCAGATGCCGGGGGTCCGCTGTAAAGGCCGACGGAAAACGTGTTGGCCGAGTGTCCCTGTAACGTGGGAGCCGTGGAGTGTTCCTTTCATCCTTCAGCGTCGCACCGAGCACAGCGCAGGCAAACAATGCAGCAGCAACAGATGGCGCGGCGGCGGCCGCGGAAGCACGGGCCCGAGGCCGACGGCGGCGCCGAAGGTGACGGCGACGGCGACGGCGGCTTCGGTGGCTGGCGGGGGGCGGCGGCGCCCGCAGGAACGCCACGCGGAGGCGGCGGCTGCGGCGGCGGCGGCGGGTCCGCCAGCGCTGCTGCCCATCTCGCGGGCGCTCCGAGAGGCCCGCAAGGCATCGCCGGAGGGGGGGGCGATCAGGGGGTCGTCGCCCAGACGGCGACGACGACGACGACGACGACGACGACGACGACGACAACAACGACGACCTGGCCTTCGGCAGGCGGCTCCGAGAGCCGCAGGCCCCGCGTCAGATGCCGCCCTCCGCGCCGCCCTCCGCGCTGGGTGACGGGCGACGGGCGGGCGCGTTTTTGCCGCAGCGGCCACGCGCGGCCCTCTCCGCGCCGTCGCCCTCGCCCGCGCGCGCGCGAGTGGAGGGGCGGCGATTAACGGGGGGGGGGGGATTGCAGGGCCGCAGCCGCGGGGCGGGAGGAGGCCGCTCCCATCGGGCGTTCCAGAAAAGGCTTACGCCTTCGAGGACCGGACGAGCTGCCATCTCTTCCTCGGCGCGGGGCGGCTGAAGCGGGCGGAAGTGAAACGAGGCCGCCTCCGCCAGCGGAGGCTTGCGGAAGCTCGGCAGAAGCCTTCGGAGGCAGAAATCGACCCCCCAAGAGATGGCAACCTTTTTGGGCTCAGGGTTTCCGGCGTCCGCCACATGGCGGGCGTCGCCGCGGAGCGGCCGGGGGCGGCCAGCCAGTGCTGCACCGCTGGCAGCTGGCGCGGGGAGAGGCGATAAACATGGGGGTGCCCGGGATTGCAGCCTCACTCCTCCCAGTCCCGGTCTCTGTTTCCCGGTGACGCAGTCGCGTGATTGCCGAACCACTACTCTCGGTATGTGATTGGCGACGCGCGGGCGGGGAATTTCCAGCCCTCTGCAGCCTGAGCCGAGGGATGGCTGATGACGGAACGGGTGAGGAGGGAGCCACTTGGGATGCCGAGGCCACAACAGACGAAAACGAGCGAAGGGCAGCGGCATCGGTACCCTTTTCCACTTCTGACGCTGGACGCGTGCCAGGCCAATGAATGTTTTGCCCCCGCTGCTCAAGGCCAGCCAGGTACCGACGCCCCCGCCCGGTTCGGGAGCCTGGAGACGGGGGTCAATGCAGACGGGGGTCGGCCAGAGCGCCAGATCTTGCAGGATCCTACAGGGCGAGGGGCGCATTGACCCGGGCTTGGGTGCAGGATCTTTCGCATTGACCCGGGCTTGAGTGCAGGATCTTGCAGGGTTCTGCAAGGCTTGACTGACCCGGGTCTGCATTCACCCGGGCCAGAAGATCCCCGACCGGTGCCGATGCGCAGCGCTCCCCGCCGCGGGCTGCGCCCCTGCAGTGGCCTCGCCCTGGGCCTGGGCGGGGCCGCCTCTGCGGCGGGCTGGCGCCCCGCCCCGCTGGCCACGCTGCGCCCGGCGTACCGCGGGGCCGAGGAGGCGTCCCTGCGCGCGCTCGGCGCGTGCTTTCGGGACGGGGACGACGTCTACACAGACCCGAAGAGGAACCAGACGCCACAAGCACAAGCTCGTTGGCGCTCCGCGCGGAGCTCCTGCGTCCGCGCTGGGCCCCCTGCGGCGCCGCCCCTGGCGCGCGGAGCGCGCCAGGGAGGGGGGGGGTCCAGCCCAGATCCGGGAACCTTGCTCGGAGCGCCGCAGGTTTGTGCTGTGGCGTGTGTTTCCTCTCCCGCGTACGCCAGGTGCTGCAGCTGCTCGGACGCGGGCGGCGGGGCGGAGTGGTGCTGGCAGGGCGGCTACACCCACGGCGCGTGCTGCGTGTTCCCCTTCGGGCACCTGGCCGGCGGCTCGCGGGCGCCCATGCTTAAGTCGGGCCTGTGCCTCTACAGAAGGAACGTTCAAACATTCTTTAAAACATGGCCTGGGGACGAAATTCGGACTGTTTCGGAACATGGTGTTGCTGTACATGTGTTGGCTGTTTTTTCTTTGTCGTCCAAAATCCGCCTGTAGGGTGACATGCCCGACCTAAGCCCGTGCGGCACGTGCCGTGCCGCAACGAGTCCGGCACGGAGTTCCGCGACTGCACGTTCAACCTGGGCACCTTCCGGCCGACCGTGCGTCAGGGGCTCCTGCAGAGTGGCAGCCAGGACTAACGGAAGAAGAATGACATAAACATAAAAACTCAGAGGTCCGCGCGGATTTCTCGGCTCCGCGTTGGACCCCCCTGGCGGCGCCTCCGGCGCCGCCCCTGGCGCGCTCCGCGCGCCACGAAAAAAGCTCCAGCTCCGATCCGAGAATCCTCGCGGACCTCCGAGTTGTTACGTTTATGCCCTTGCTCGTTCCCCTAAAGGACTTCCTCGTGTGGGCACCCGGGTTCCTGCTGGCGAAGCTCCTGGCTGCCGGCTGGCTGCCGGCGGCGGCGGGCAGGCCGCTGAGGGTGCTGGAGGTCATGGCCTGCCTCGCCTTGCCCGCCCTTGCGGCCGCACACCTCGGGCACGAGGTTCGGTATCGTTTAACCGATCCCCATCCCCATCCCCACCCTCTTCGAGACCCCCACCAAATTACCACCCCAGTTGGGGATACACCCCTCCAAACCCGAAGGGAAAGAACGATATCCCCGTCTAGGGAAGTAAATCGGCCAGTGGGGCCCAGGCCACGCCGCTTGGGAGAGGGATCGGATAAACAATGCTCAGAGGTTACCGTCACGGACTTGCCGATCCGGCTCGCGGGGGCCGATCTGATGGAGCTGGCGAGGGAGAACGCCGAGAGCCGAAGAAGAAGCAACGCCACCATCATAAACTTTTGGCGCTCCGCGCGGAGTTCTTGGATCCGCGTTAGGCCTCCCTGGCGGCGCCTTCGGCGCCGCTCCTTGCGCACAGAGCGCGCCAGGGAGTGGGGTCCAGCGCAGAGCCAGGAAATCCTCGCGGAGCGCGAACAATTTATGTTTATGGCTTTTTGTCATCTTCTAGAGAGGGCTCTGCCTGGAGCTCCCGTGCAGGTCGAGCCGCTCGACCTCATGGACAGCAACGCGACCGCGGCGTTTGTGCGGGAGCATGGGGCTCAGGACGTAGTCCTGATCAGCTCTGAGTATTGGACGCCGCGAATGGTGCGAGGCATCGCCGAGCTGTGTGACCACGGCACTCGCGTGCTCGCCGTCATGCGGCTCTCCTCGTTAACCAACGAAGCTAGAATCCACCGGTCTATGCGGTTTCTCGAGCGATACTTCGAGGCCGTCGACTCGATGCACGCCCGCGCCGTCGAGAAGGCGCGCTGGCTGCCCAGCGGGTTCAAGATGGGCGCGATGGAGTTTCGGCCGCGGAAGGGCGGAAGCAAGCGCACGAGCCCTCGGCACAGCAGGGTCTGTGCTGATTCTGGCTGCTGAGACCAGACATCCGTAGTTCATTGTGTTTCTGCGTGCCCTCAGCGCAGCAGGGTTTGTGCTGATTCTGCCTGCTGAGGTCAGATACACGTAGTTCGTTGTGCTTCTGCGTGTTGCTTCTGCGCGCTCTCTCTCTCTCTCTCTCTCTCGCTCTTTTTCTTTCATCTGTCTCGCACACACACACACACACGCACCCGCCTGGGGCACGGGCCCTGACGCACGCGTGAAAGAAGAGGCGTCTGGAGGCGATCTTGCTTCAAAACAGAATGAGCCGGGCCTCCGATTCCCGACGATTGTTTTTTTCCAGACGGGTTATGACTACCACTTTCTTCCGTGGAGGGCTGGGCGCTCGGGCGAAACAATAAACGTTTTGCCCCCTTCAGCTCCACCGATGACACCTGGCCTGTATCGGTCCTCAGTAGTCGCTTACGTCGTATGGGAGGGTTCCAGGTAGACGAGGGCACGTCGGCGCTCACACACGATTTCAGGATCATCGAAAGGTTGCCAGAGGTGTCCTTGGCCCAAGACAAGACGCCCCCCAAGTTGCAGTGCCATGTTGGAGCACTTCGGGCCCCTCTAGGCCTCGTGGGGGGGCTGGTGCTCTGTGTGCCGCCATAATGCCTCTGTGGAACTGGGCCACCTTGCGGCAGGGACACCTCTGGCATCACCAGAGGCGAGGAGCGTGCGTTGAACAGAGGGTCCCTCGGGGACCCTGCTTGGCCCGTTCCCGTCTTCTCCTGCCCCTCGCCGTCGGCTCCTGCCCTGGTTCTGTAGGTGTTGTCCGCCATGCTTCTCGAGACCTCAAGCTCAGAGCATGGGCTGGCACCGTGGGCGTAGGCGAACGGATGGTCTGAGAATCGGGATCCATGGTCCGTCCCATCCTCGTTGTTCCTGAGATCCTTCCATGGTTGTTCCTCTAGTGCACGCGATGCGTGCGAAGATATGCCAATCCACAATTATTCACACATTCCGATGTGTGTGTGTATACATACATACATACATATATATATATATATATATATTCATACATATATATATATATATATATCAGATAGGATTGTAGGGGGCCTTACGACCGGTGTCGCCGACCATGAAGGCGACGACGACGACGACGCCGGCGGCGACGAGGAGGAGGAGGAGGAGGAGGAGGAGCAGGATGAGGAGGCGGATTACGCGGTGAAGCAGCAGCATGAGCAGGAGGAGGAGGAGGAGGAGGAGGAGAAGGAGGATGCGGAGGAGGATGAGGAGAGGGAGCAGGGGCAGGCGGGAGGACAAGGGGGGCGAATGAGCAGTAGGAGGACGAGGAGAATGGGAGTCGGAGGAGCATGAGAAGAAGGAGAACGCGGAGGAAAGGGAGGAGGAGGGGCAGGCGGAGGAGGAGAGAGAGGAGGAGGGGCAGGAGGAGGAGGAGTTTGGGGAAGAAGAGGTCGAGGTAAGGTTGAGGGCTCTGGTAGGGCCTCTCGTGGGCAGTTTTGGGGCATTTTTGGGAGACTCTTGGCGGGCCTCTTGGGAGCCTCTTGGGGGCCTCCAGGGTTCCTGGGGGCTTCTTGGGGGCGTCTTGGAGGCCTCTTGGGGCATCCTGCGAGCTTCTCGGGGGCGAGGGCTCGAGATGTCCGTTCGGGTCCCTGGTTTGGGAACCCTCTTGGAGCCGTTCTGGGTGCCTTTTGGCATGTCTTGGAGGCGTCTCGGGCCGTCTTAGGTCCCTCTTGGGCCATTGTGCGAACCTCTTGGGGGACTTTGGGCCGTCTTGGGGCGATCTTGGGAGCTTCCTGGGCCGTCTTGGAGTGTCGGGAAGCGGAAAAGGCGAGAACGCCAAAATCCGTCAACAACCTTAGGCACATGTAGAAATGTTTGCCTCTTGAGGCCTTTTTTGGGTGTTTCTGAAGGCCTCTTCGGGCGTTTTGCAGGCCTCATGAGCCGTCTGGAGGCCGTCTAGGCGTCTTGAACAGATTGGTCGGCGATTCGGGGCCCTCTTGCCGCCTTGGGAGCCTCCTCGGGCACTCTTGGCCCGTCCTGGGGCGTTTTTTGCGACCACGGGGGAGGGATCAAAGGGAAGGGGCTTCCCTTCGACTGACTTGCGACGTTGCTAAATTCTGCTTTGGCTAGCGCGCTTGGGGAGGAGGGCCCAGGAAAAGGGGGGAGCGGCGACGGGCCCAGGGACACGGGGGCTGCAGGGAAAGCGACGGCAGAGACGACGACGAACGAACGACGGAGACGACGGCTCGAACGGACAAGCCCCTTGCACACGCCGACAGGGTCGGCGAACATTCATCATCACGTGTGTAGACATGATCGGTGTATGCATACCTGGGATTCCCTTCGGGGATCATCCGTTAAGATTGGAACGGTACAGAGACGATTAGCATGGCCCCTGCGCAAGGATGACACGCGCAAATCGAGAAGTGTATACAATATTTTTTGGGTGTATGCATACCTACGTATGAGAGTGATGGGCCGAGCTGCCTCACACCGTCGCTGCGAGCGTGGCTGAAGCGAGTGTCCTCGATGCGGATTCCCGTTGTCGTTGATCGTCGCCCGCGCCCACGATGCGCCCCCGACCTGCCTGGCGACCCTCCTGCGACCCACCCGCCACCCACCCGCCACCCACCCGCGACCCATCCGCGACCCATCTGGCACCCTCCCACGACCCAACTAGGACCAACCCATCCGCGAGCCACCCACATTGTTGTGGTAGCAGGTATCCGCCTGCGGCGGGCTCGTTGTGCAGCGGCGGCGACGACCAGGGCAAAGCCTCTCGCACATGCCGAAGGGTCGGCGGATTTCGGTGCGCAGCACCCCGCAATTTCGGACAAGAGTGAGGGGACGGTGAGGTCGTCGGCAGTCTGCCAGGCTCTGAACAAGCCAGCCGCAGGTGCTGGCTTTCTTATCACATCGCACAGCAAGCCCGCCGCAGGCGCCGAACGTTTGTCAAAGCAATGTGGGTGGAGCACTGTTGGGTCGCGGGCGGATCGCATGTGAGTCGCGGAGTGGGTCGCGTGGTGGGTCGCGAGGTGGTTGGCGGGGTGGGTCGTGGGCGGGTTGCGGGCGTGGACAACCACAACAATAATTTCAAGATTGTTCGCTCTTCCCTGCTCGCGTGCCATTCAATATGTATGTATATATATGTACATACACATGTGAATACATATACATATGTATGATTATATGTGTATGTGAATATATATATATATATATATATATATATATCTCCCAGACCCTCGGCACCTGCCTGTTTCGTCGTGGACCGTATCCCCCCGGGGGGCATAGTTTCCTTACCCGCCGCGGGTAATTGCCGCAGCCCCTGAAACAGAGGAATAGAGGAGGGATGGAAGGGGGAGGGAGGAGGGAGGAAGAGGAGGGAGGAATAGAGGAGGAGGAGGAGGGAGAAGGATGGAGCACGGGGTTAGCAGGAGAAGGGCCTAGGAGCAGAAAGAACGCGGCAGATCCAGACGGGCCCATCGGGCGGGCAGACCCTAACGGGCGGGTCGGGAAGGCGGGTCCAAGCGGCCAGTGAGCATGGCATGAATCGTGAGGAAGGCTATAGCGCGATTCCCAAGCAAATCGCGAGAGAGAGGCCAAAGCGAGAGCGTGATTATCCTGAGTGTCGAGGGCGCGGCGTTGACATGTATTGCGAGGAAGTCCCACACGAGAACGCGATTCATGCACAACTTGTGAGGAAGTCCCGTGCGAGAGCTGGATTTCGCAGTACACTGTGGGGAAGTATCCGGCGGGAGCCGTTGTTGTTGCTCTTCTTCGGGGCCCAACCGCGCAGTTTGGTGCTTTCCCCGATAGAAAACAGAGTGCGAGCCCCGGGGGGGGTACTTCAATTGAATGGTTACCGAAGGGGGGGATCAACAATGATAACTCTTCAGGGTAATGGGAATTCAACAATCATTGTAAGACTGATCGCTGCTATACGCGTGCGTGTCAATCAACGTGTGTTTCCCAAACCTGGGGTGCCCGCTCTCTTCGTCTTCGATGGTGCCTCTTTTGGGGAGGATGTTTTTCCTCCCTGCCACGTGTAAGTGGCGAAGCCGTAAACGGAAGGGAGCCACCGAGGGCTGCAAAGGGGCCAAGAAGGGCAGCGAGAGGGCCACGAAGAGCTACAACGGGGCCACGAAGGTCAGCGAGGGGACTACGAAAGGCGACCGCGGGGCCACGAACGGCATCGAGGGGCTCAAAGAGCGGGGCCGCGGAAAACATCGAGGAGGCCACGCAGGCAGCGGCGAGACCTTCAAACCCGACTGCGGTATCGCGAGGGGCAGCGGGGGGCATCGGAACGGGCGACAAGCAGCGAGGGGCGACTGCGGGCCTCACCGGGCGGGTTAGGCGGGCGGACCCTGACGGGCGGGTGGGTCGAGCGGGCGGGTCGCGAATGCGCAGGTCCTGCATAATTCGACGAAGTCTCGGGCGAGAGCGCGATTCCCAAGTAAATTAGGAAGTCCAAGGCGAGAGCGCAATTCCTGAATAGCTGAATGCCGAGAGCGCGCTGCCCTAGTAAATTGCAAAGAAGTCTCAGGCGAGAGCGCGATGATTGAGCAAACTGCGAGGAAGGTTCAAGCCAGAGCCCGGGGGTTCAATACATGGGGAGTAAGTCTCTGGCGGGAGCGGTTCTTTACAGGCGCAGCCCGTAATTTGATTTTCGGGAAGTAGACAGCCGTTAGATGGTAGTTTTATTTACGGGGGTGAGGATATTTCGCTGGCAGCTTGAAGTCAGGGGGAGTGAGGATATTTCGCTGGCAGTTTTAAGTCAGGGGGTTGAGGCTACCTCGCTGGCAGTTTTACGCCAGGGTGTGAGGATATTTCGCTGGAAGTTTTAGGCCAGGGGGTGAGGATACTTCGCTGGCAGTTTTAAGCGAAGGGTGTGAGGATATATATATATATATATATATATATCGCTGGCAGTTTTAGGCCAGGGGGTGAGGATGTTTCGCTGGCAATTTTTAGCGAGGGGTGTGAGGATATCTCGCTGGCAGTTGTAGACCAGGGTGTGAGGATATCTC